TCCCATGAACTCCAATCAGACTGAGGCATGTTTCCACCATTTGAAAATCAAATGGTTGGAACCCTGCCTGGACTGTTGCTTTAAACGTTGGGTCCCGCCACTATTGAGTCGCTGGTACATCGTTCGACTCGCGCAAAGTTCGATTCGCTGGTGCAACGTTCGATTCGCTGGCGCAACGCTCGGATCCAGCGATTCGCTAGCGAATCGCTCGATTCGCAAACTATGACATCGGCCTAAGGATGTAACTCACACATTATACATAACTTTTCGCGCATATCAATCGACTGACCCTCTTCCAATACCCTGAACTGGCTACACTCCCCCTGAAATTCCCTCGATCCTCGTGACACCGTAGCAGCGGCCGGTAGTCCCCACATACAGACATTTCGCGCCTACCGTGTCCAAAAAATCGACGTACGCGTCCCACCGTATTGCACCGAAAGATGTTTTCAGCACTGCTGGAGGAGTTATTCAAAATGTTATCCACTCCTTCCAAGGGATGATCGATCAGTTGGATTGGATGACTCCTGAGATCAAGAAGAAGGCAAATGAAAAGACCAACGGAATCAGTTAGTTGATCCTCGCCTTCACAGCAAAGTAAAAAATTGGATATATTTGGGCTCTAGTTACCATTTTCAAGCAGAGATGGTAGTATCAACACAACAATGCTCATCAATGTTTTGGTAGATTAACAAGCCCTGTCAAAAGAAAAGTCTTCACATCCCAGGAGTGTGAACTGGAATCTTAATGACATTTGTGTGAGTAAAAACTAAAATAGGAGGCAGGGTGAGTGGGGGGAGACCTAAGATTCAGAACGCCAGCAAGTCGTGGCGCATTTAGTTGTTGAGTTGCGCTGTCACATCCCATTAGTGCGTTTTGTTCTCCTACGGAATTCATCACCTGTATCATCGTTCGCTCTGTTGCTCACCGAGTTGCTCAGGTGGGCGGCAGCGTTTCCTTTGTTCCCTGTTGCGTGTAAGAGTACTCTTGGATGACGTTTCTTCGCCTGAAGGACTCAAAGCTCATCGTTCTTTTTGTTTGAACGTTCGTGAAGAAGTCTGACCATCAGGTCGCGTTCGTTTAACGCGCAGGAGATCGTGTAGGAAACGGCGACGGTTTCAGCGGTTATCATAAAATGGCGTTGCCTATTCGCCACACCTTATTTTTGATTTCTTGATAAAACGGCATCGTTCCTGATCTGTAATTGCTGGTGCTCCGGATTTCCTTCCAGATTTGCTTTTAGCAATAAACCCACTTTCTGTTTTGGAAATTTTCATTTTTATTCGACCTTGATAATCGGGGAAGACTCTCCAAGCAACCTAATATACATAATTCGACATAGCGCTGCAGCAACAACGGCCCATCCCCAAATCCACCCCTGTTACAGGACATTCAAAGCATTCATGGTGGGTTGGTTCGCGCCTTACTTC